CTTTTTAAGGCTGGGTCATATTCGACATTTTGTTAATCCATTCATCTGTCAACAGTCATTTGGTTTGCTTCCATCTTTTTTCTTATCTAGACCTTTCTTTTTTGGCACATGGACCCAACCATACCTAGAAACTATTCTCTCCCACAAAACCAATACTTTATACTTGAACTTAGTTCAGAATTAAAATAAAGCTTTTAAACAGAAATCTTTTTTGTCATTTGTAAATGGTAGTTCTTCGCTCCTGAGAAGTACTTGGAGTAGTCAGTGAGCTAACCCAAAGCATCATGTGCCTGGCACATAGTATGCACTCTGCAGAAGTAAGTCTTTGAGAAGTCTGGAAAGAATTAGGAAAGAAGAAAGGGGGTAGAATGAGGGGACTGGTTTCAGAGGTTGGCTTAGAACAGGGGAGACTTGTATGTGATAGGAGGCCCTGGCTCATTTCTCCTGCTGTCTTGGGTTGCTCACAACTAAGCCCAGTGCCGTTCTGGCCTACAACTCTGTCCTTCTCCATGTTCCTGGAGCAGTTTTAATGGGAGCAGCAGATCACAAGCTACGGCTTGTGCAACTGAGCACCATTCATTCCCTCAGGCCCCAGTCCTAGGTCCCAGGGATGCCACAGGCTGGACCTCCGTGCCCAAGTCACAGCTCCCCCAGTCCCTTGGACTCCGGTTCCTAGAACTGGGCTTATGTTAGGTTCCCAACACCGCATACCTCCTGAGGACTGGTACTGGCCCTGTCTGCCACCCGGGATCATCTGCCCATGTTTCCTACTGGTATGTCACATCCCTCTGAAATCCAGGTGGAGCCCACAGTCTCCTTTTGGAAATCCCTCACATCAGCTGCTTCCAGAACCATCACAGAACTTGCCACATCCTCTGTATCCTGGGCCTTGTCCATGAGCTGATCCTCTGCTCCCTTGTCCATCTCAGACCACTCCTCAGGGCTGAGCTGTAGCAAGAGACCCCCCTGCGACAATGCTGGGTTCAGTTATATTGAACTAACATTTCTGAACACAGCATCTAAGCTCAGTGCTAGGCAAGATAAAGATGGATAAGATATGTCCCAACCTTCCCGGTTTTAAAGTGCCATTAAAAACATCTGCACAGGACCATAGTTCAAGGATAAAGGTTGGGCCTTGAAGATGAAAAGACACCATCTCTTTGGAGATAGGAGAAAAGGAGAATACACAGGCCCAGCCCCTTCTTGGGATAAGGGACGCAAATGGGTATGAGGCCTTCAGCTGAGTGGAAAAGGTTTGGAACAAAACCCAAGGGGGCCTTAAGGAGGACAATGGAAGAAAAACCGAGGAGCAGTTGAGACCCAGCTGAGATCAGATATGTGATCTTATGAATGTGGGAGGTTTATCACTTCTTTCTCCCAAGTAATACTCAGCAGTTCAGAGCAAGACAGGGGGAAGGGAGGGCAGAGCTAAGGACTGGCCAGGGGCCCACAGCTGACAGACAAGTCTAGAGTGTTTATAAACACATGGCTAAGACACTGGACCATGACTGAGTGGACAGGAATCCAGGTGAGGCCAGAACAATGGAGTGGGGGTGGAGGCCACAGAATCAGTGACCAAGAAGATGAGGCCAACGAGCAGGGTCAGAGGGCATGAGGGAAGCATGGAGAGAGCATCATGGAGGATGGCAGTTCATCCCCTGCTCTGGAGACCACAGACTCCACACCATATTTGTGTCTTCTTTCCTTCCTCCCTCCCACCCACTGTCCCTTCCACAGATACTATGTGTTATCTGTTTCCAACATGCTAATCACAGGACAGCCTAGACAAGGGCCCTTGCCTGGTAGTCCAGAGTTTAGTGCAGAAGAGAGACACTTCAACCCCTCACACCCAGTGTAGCAAGCGTCCTGTGGGGTGCACAGACAGGATGCCGTGGGAACACCCCAACACATGACCCACACTGGGAGTTTGCAGAAGGCTTTCCAAGAAGAAGTGATGTCTGAGCCGGGACCTCAAAGATAAGAGGAAGTTAAGCAGACAGAAGGGTGAGGGGAGTGTAGCGCTGCAGGCTGACACCTCTCCGCACCGCCCACCTGGTAGAAGCTGGCTTTCACTTCCATCTCTCAGCTGGAACTGCTTTCAGATATCACCACTCACTCCTCACCACATCTTGTCTTCGCGGGGCGCACAGAGCCCCTAAACTTTCCCTAACTTGATGTTGTCACCTTTTGCTTTTCTCCCTCCTCTCTGACCTCCCTTCTCTGCTTCCCCCTTTGTGCCCTCCCCTGCCCCCGAAATATAGGTGTCGGTGTGTTCTTCAAGGCTGTGACCACACGTCTTGCTCTCCAGCATCTCTCTTCTTCCGTAATCATGTCAACATCCGTATTTTCCTCTCCGGCCCTGGCCTCCCTCAAGGACCCAGCACCATGTTTTCAACAGCCACGGACATCTCATGGTCTTATCCATCGCTCTTCAAAACTCTTGATTTCATCGCCTTTCGCCTCATGACGGTACCTCTGTGGTGGCTCCAGCCTTATCCCTTCCTTTCCCAGATGCGTGGTCTGGGGTCTCATTAATCGTCACCTCCGAGGCCATCTTGCTTCCCCCGCCCCCACTCCCCGCTGTCACCTGGCCTGTCCGTGCTCCCTAACCGCCATGTCCCTGTGCTGCACACACAGTAGGGGGCATTTCCTGCTCCGCTCCCGCATAGCTCTGAGCAGGCCTGCTTCTGGAGAGAGCTCCCGAGTGAGCGCCCCGTTGTATTTGAGATGGAGCCAGCTCCTCAGACGGGCTTCCAGGCCTCAGTGTGGCCTCAGAGTGCCTCCCTCTATCGCCTCTCATGGCCTCTGCTTCAGAGGAAGTGCCCTAAGGCGCCACGTTGCCACTTCCTTGCCGGCTCACGCGGGCCTCTGGTTCAGTGCCCTTGCCTCCAAGTGCCCACTGTCCAGATCCTCAGCGAAGCTTATCTCAAATATCTCTGGTTCAAAGAAACCCCCTGTGGTTTTTTTCCATCAGAGGAAATGTCTCCTCTCTGACTGTCTACACCTCCCTATTGGAACCCATCACTGTCTGCCTTGTGTTGTAGTTAGTCGTGTGCGTCTCTACTTCCCCAGCCTATCTGAAGGCAGGCCTTGAGGTCAGGGGTTCAGATTTCTTTATCTCTGTATATAGGTTCAACACGGGGAACTGGTACATCCTGTGTGCTCCATCCGGAGGTGTGGAGTCAAGGCGTGAATGTGGTTTCCGTAAGGCCATTTTAAAAAATGCAAAAATAAGTCTCTTCTGATTTCACTCTTAGAAAACTGACCTAAGAAGTATCATAACATAATAATCAGAGCAAGAACAGAGATCATAGATCTTATTCTATTATTCTGTCTCCATCAACCTTCACAAGTCATTCTGAGTCACGTCATGTCCCTCGTCTCTGTCACAGGGATGATTCTGGCCAGACATTGTCTTTGGTAAAAATGTTCTCCAGGTTATGAGACATCAGGTCACATTTGCCATGTAACGTAGTCTCTCGTTAAAGGAAAGCTCATGGTTTAGCGGGGACCTCCACTTTCACATTTGTGGCTCTCAACACCAGCTGAAGGTCCTGTTTCTGTTTGCTCCATGCATGTTTCCAATTCGGTGAGCAGAACCGTGACTTTGCTGATAAAAAAAAGCATGCCTGCCCAGTCCTGCCACACTTGTACAGATGTGGGAAGGCAGGTCCCTACATGACCCATCGAACAGTGGCCCTACCATTGTGGGGCTTCTGGGGTTAGGCTTGTAATAAAAAAAAAAAAAAAAAAAAAAAGAGAGATTTTTGTTCTTTCAAAAATTTCCTATAACCCTGACCCCCTGTATGCATAGAGCGAGCAGGTTGCTTTTCATTCCAGTTAGGACAGTGATGAGAGGCAAGACTCAAACAGAAACAAGAAATATTTAGATTCGTTGGGGGGTGAGGGGGACGGGGATCTGGCTGGTTAAACATTGGAATGCTTCTTATGTGGGAAAAAAAATGAGGCTCATAATTAGACAAATGTATCTACATGGCTGAGACATGGGGATTTATGAGCTCAGAGTGAGGGGGAGGGCTTCTTAGATGATGAAGAGAAAAAGACTATTTAAAAGGCATGACCCCAGGGCATTAGCACGTCTTTCAGGGCAAAACTGAGAACACAGAGCACCTTAGGGATGAGCCAGTCTGTCGGCCACCTTAATCTACAAATGAGGATGCAGAGACCCAAGCCAGTAAGTGAGGTGTTTCAGGTTATTAGTGTAGCTGGATGAAAACCCAGGGCTTCTGACCCCACACTGGTGCTGCTTCTGGAACCTGATGGAGGGGGTCATACTAGCTGCAGGGAGAGGCTTTCATTGTCTGAAGATGTCGTTAACATAAACAAACGTGTCCTGAGGATGGTCTCCTCTGCTGACTTCATTGAAAACACACACACACACACACACACACACACACACACACACCACCACCCCCACCCCCCTCCAGTGAGGGAAACTATATCCCTCCATGGAGCCTATCCTGTAGCACGGCCTTGTTTGTAAAAACAGAACCCCCAGCAGAAGGGCAGAAACACGATCATCTCTCAAGAGATTTGGACACTTCCTTTGGACCGTGTCTCTTGGCCGTTTCAAAATATATTTTTAAAAAATACTATAGATACGGAAACGAATTACAACCTAGACTGACAGCAAGCCCAAACAAAGAGTAGATAGGGAATAAAATAAAAATCATCCCTCGCGTGAAATAAAAGTAAAATGGTAGCACATTGTTTCATCCACTGGGGTCTGCTGTGTGCCAGGCACTGTCCTGGGAACGGAGGACCCAGCACAGCGAGCAAACAGACCAAAGCTCCTGCCCTCCAGGAGCTCCTATTCTAGAAGAAACGCATAGTTTCATACCCATTACAATACTGTTCTTGAGATCCATCACCACCCACCCTGCCAGGCTCTGGTGGAAGTTTAACTACATTGGAAAATTGATACTATCTCCGTTCATATATGGGTATACTTCTAATGAAGGTTGCTTTCTGGTTGACAGGGAGAAGAAAATGGCTTTCCAGACAGTACCGGAGATCCCCTTTCAGGTAAAGGATTGATTCTGCAGAGGTCTGGGCTTTTCTGATAACTGGCATGATGGAATTAAAGATAATTTGCAAATATGTTTATCATTAACTTTAAAAATCTGTATTATAGGCTAGAGAAACTTTCCAACCACAGGCCCAGGGGAAGTGGAAGGAAATGGTAACCAGATTTCACAAAAGCCTTCAAAGAGTATTTTCTCCGAGCTGACCCTATTTGGCTTGTGAAGGGCACAGCCGGGTTCTCAATAGGAAAAGTTTAGGAGGGGGTAACAGTCACAACAGAGCTGGGGGTCTTGGCATTGATGGAAAACTGCCAGGTGGAAGAAGGCAATGGGGCTGGGGCCAAGTAGGCCCATGGGAAGGGCCAGCTCAGCCAGTCACTGCCTCCATCCCTTCTCTGTGCCTGGGGCACTCCATTAGCCAAGGAGCCCCTCCCGCACCGGCCATGTGCTCGTCCCCAGTCTGCCGCTGGTGTGTTTAACCAGAGAAACAGTAAGATCTGCCTCCTTCCCCACTTGTTACTGTAAGTTGGAAACTTTGGCAGTCTTCAGATTTCTTATTAATTCATCATGGAGAAAATCTGGAGTGAGCATTAAAAGAAGCTACCAAAAGAATAACTAAAAAACATTAAAACCTCCCTAATGTTTTCTATACCTCTTAAAACACATATTGAAAGACCTGAGTCATCAGGGTTTTGTTTCTTTCTTTCTTGGGGGGAGGGTGGTGGACCCTAAAACCCTCAGGATAATGTGTCACCAATCCTACCTAGACTGTGCCCATGTAACCATGCTGAAAATCAGAACATGTGGTGTATAGTCAACTTTTTCCCCCCCTTAGAAACATGATATGAGCAGTGCCTGGATGGCTCAGTCGGTTAACATCCCACTCTTGATCTCAGCTCAGGTCTCAATCTCAGGGTCATGAGTTCAAGCCCTGCACTGGGCTCTACTTAAAAGAAAAGAAGAGAAAGAAAAAAGAAAGAAAAGAAAGAAAGAAAGAAAAAAAAGAAAGAAAGATAGATGTTAGCAGCAGTTATCTCTGGGTGGTGAGACTCTAGGTGATTTTTTTTTTCATTCAGTAGATTTTTTTTTTTTTTAAAGATTTTATTTATTTATTTGACAGAGAGAGACACAGCGAGAGAGGGAACACAAGCAGGGGGAGTGGGAGAGGGAGAAGCAGGCTCCCCGCAGAGCAGGGAGCCCGATGCGGGACTCGATCCCAGGACCCTGGGATCATGACCTGAGCTGAAGGCAGTTGCTTAACCAACTGAGCCACCCAGGCGCCCCTCATTCAGTAGATTTTTATTTATTAAGGACCTACTGTGTGAGTCTCAGAGCAAAAGTATAGCTCTGGGAGACAGAAGTTGTTGTGATCCTGGTTCCAGTCCAGCCACTACCCTGCTGTGATGAGAGAAGTCAAAGGGGAAACTGAGCCAGCTGAATTTGTACTGGAGCCTTCCCAGCAGGTTTCACGGTACAGGCCTAAGGTCAGGGTCCCATCTGGACACCCTGTTGGAACTTGCCTTCCCTGGACCACACCCCCCCACCAGAGGCTAGGACTGCTGGCCAGTAATTCTCTCTCTTCCACAAATGCTGCAGCCGACAAACTCAGAAGCACTAGCTGGGTGATGTAAGGAGGAGAAAGCATCTTTGCTCACAAGCAGTCAATTTTTGTTTTCTTTCCACTCTCCTATATTTTTTAAATTTCTAACATGAGTGGATATCAGAAAAAAATCTCTCCCCCCAAACTGTAACCTGTATATACAAATTTGTATATAACAAATGATCAGATGTAGGCAAATATATATAATATGTGATAAAATAACCAAGGAAATCCATAAAAGGCTAACTGATCGACCTCAGTGGTAAGAGCATGAATTTTTTTCCCCTATGCTCATCTGAATTTTCAGATTTTCTGCAGTAAGCACATATTTCTTTTCTTTTTTTTTTTAAGATTTTATTTATTTGACAGAGATACAGCGAAAGAGAAAGAACAAGCAGGGGTAGCAGCAGAGGGAGAGGGAGAAGCAGGCTTCCCGCTGAGCAGGGAGTCCCATGTGGGGCTCGATCCCAGGATCCTGGGATCATGACCTGAGCCGAAGACAGTGGCTTAACTGACTGAGCCAGCCAGGTGCCCCTTTCTTTTCTAATTAAAAAAAACACGCAACACCTGTATTTAAACTTTTAAAAGACTTAACACCCTACACACTAATGTGGAATGTGAGCTAAAATGAAAATGGATAAAGTAAGTTGTTTAGGAATATCTATAAACCTTTATGATTTAAGGTTGTTGTTGACTAATAGATTAACTTTAATCAAATTTCAGTTGTCTCTTAAAAAATTATACCTGTGTCAAAATGAAATGGAAGACTTTTGAAGAGAATAAACTTTTCACAGTGATAGGTAAAATGCTTGAGTACAGATGGTGCTGTTGAAGTCAATGGCTTTCGCACCCAGCATGCTACCCTGCACACAAGAGTGAGTGTTCAGGTGTTTGGTTGGATTTTTGTTTTTGTTTTTGTTTTTCATAAACAAGGAGATGAGAGACACTGACTTAATGGCTTTGCTCTTGAGTAAACTGGCAAAAGCTGATCTGTATATTTCGGTCTTTGAGTGAGAGTATCAACTTAAGTAAGCTTTATCGTTTTAGTTACAAACACTAATTTAGCACTTACTATATACCAGGCCCTGTTGTAAGCACTATAAAGAGCCGCTTAGAAAAAGTGCACATGACAGCTCTGAACTTATTTTCCTCACAAGATGGAGGTTACAGAAGCGATGCAGGGTCACGTGGCTGATGCTGGGTCACGGGAGTCCTAAGTGGGACTCAAGCCTGGGGCCTGGCCAGGAGCTCAAGCCCAACCACCAAACCAGGCTGCCTCTGGTCAGATGCATTGCCCGGGGAGTACACACATTGAATGCTTGAGTGTCATACAGGGGGGTGAGGGTCAACTATCTCAGATACAGTCTTAATCTGGAACAAAGCCAAAGCCCACCCTCACACCCCCGCCCCCAAAGTCAGTCTCTGAAACACAGTAATACCTTTCACAAAAAGCTCGATACTTTCCCTGGATCAGGCCCTCAGGCCCTGAACTCAGAGCCTGGATTTTATTTAATTCTTGTCTTTGAAAACCTTAGTTATCTGTGATCCAGCTTATAGCTAGTTAAAATAAGCAATGTGGGGACAATGGAAGGCACTGCCCCAGAGGGAGGGATTAGACAGACATGGGAAATGACAGCCGACAGTTTGTAAGCAAGGAAAGAAAAAGAATACAAATCAGAATCAGCTACCCCTGGAAAAGCAGAGTCTCCTTCGCGGAACCAATGAGTAAAGAAGCAAACGCCCACAGGAGGCAGAGCACAAGAAAGAAGACTCTGCAGTGCCCCCGGTTAATAGAATAATGCACCTGCTCTCCACACTGGGCCAGTTTTTCAAGGATGATTTTCTGACAACCTTGCATAATTCAGCACTTGCCCAACCTAAACCTAATTTCCCCACAGAAATTCAGGTAAAATAGGATTGTTACTTTTGTTTCAAATTAGGTCCATTACATGACACTTTGTTCATATGTTTGTGTCACGTAATTTCAGAATCCGAATTCACATGGAATTCTATGCTGAATTTTTACTTGGGTCCTTCCTGACCTAAGTTGGTTTTTTTTTTCTTAAAGTGCCCTCTACACTCCAGCTTTGATGACAAAATCGAGGTGCAGCGTGATCTTATAGCCCAGATCCTTCCAATTTGTCAGGTCACAGCTGCTGCCAACTTGATGTCTCCTTAAAAGGGTGTTTTAGAGAGAGAGAGAATGAAATTGCATTGTTTTTCCCTTTGGTTAAGAGATCAAATGCCCACCAAAAGCCCTTGGGTTAGTTTCTTGGGAGATAAAAATAGTTCTTCAATCATTTTCCAGCTCAAAGCATATAAACTACCTCCGATGAATAATGTGGGGGGTGTGTGTGTGTGTGCACCCCAGTGATTTATCAAAGCCATAAGCTGACATTTTAAATATATTTCCAACCACATTGGAAACCACACACACATAGAAAAAAGCATGAGTTTATACCCTTAACACGCATAACTGCAGAAATATTTGACTCTGCTCTCACACTTTGTTGGTATTTTGCAGGCTCCAAATCTGATAATTTATAGACACTTGGGATAGAGTTATTTTATTTCAAGACCACAATATTTCGCTATTTGCTAAGTTGCCAATAAAAAAATGTTTACTATTTAATTGTTTGAATTAACTCAAGACCTAGTTATCCTGGGGAACATTATTATAAATGATCTAAGAGCTCACAGTGGTCCTGAGCACACTGGAGGGAAACACCCGTGTGGTAATAGTTCTCGAAAAGCCAGAGTGTACAAGATAAAACGGCACCTACCCTGCAGGGAGACACATTAAGTCAATCTGTGATCTACTGCCAACATCTGACTGGAGCCAATTTCTAGGCTCAAGTAATCATGACCTTTGTGAATCCTGAATCTTGTTCCAGTTTACAATTAACTGTTAATTGACCAGTATTTTAAAACCCGCCAGCCCCAAACCGGAGTTAGACATTGCGCTGTTGGATGTGAGCTGTTTCTTACCGTTGTTTTAAATGACAGAGCCACACCTTGAGGGCGAACATTCTAGAATCCTGAAATGCTTTTTTAAAGTCTTTGTAAATGTGTGTGTGAGAGAGAGGATGAAGAGTAGGGGGAGAGGACAGAAAACACCCCATAGGAAAACCCACTCATCTCCTGTTGAGTGTGGGGACATGTTATCTGTTCAAAGACTTAATCACTGAACAGACACACCATCTCAAAAGTAGCTCTGATTCCAAAATGTAATTATGGTAGGCCCTTCTGACTAAGCACTTACTCTGCGGATGTCTTTAAGGCAATGGTTTTCAACCCTGGCTGCATTTTAGAATTCCCAGGGGAGCCTTTGAAAATTCCCATGTCCCTCCTGCACCCCAGGACCAATTAAACAAGGATTTCAGTGGGTGGGGCCAGAGGGT